TATTAGCAGTTTGGAGGGATATGTTGTGTATCTTTATAGGTATATGCTTCTAAACTGTTGTGTTCTGGGCACCTCTGCAAAAACAGTGATTATGTGTGAGTGAGGTGAAAGTGTTGAATGATGATGAAAGTATTTTCTTTTTGGGGATTTTCTTTCTTTTTTTGGTCACCCTGCCTCAGTGGGAGACAGCCGACTTGTTAAAAAAAAAAATAATAATAAGTTCCCTTGAAGCATGATGTATGACAAGTGTCAGTGACAAGCATCTATGAGGGTGCAGTGATACAATAAGTGGTGACATTTAATGAGCCCATGCGAGGGTGCAGTGATAAGTGGTGACATTGATGAGCATCTTGAGGGTGCACTTGTAGTGATAAGATAAGGAGTGACATTCGATGAATGGCAGCGAGGGTGCAGTGATAAGATGAAATAAGGGGTGACTTTTGATGAGCGCCAGTGAGGGTGCAGTGATGAGATGAGATAAGGGGTTACATTTGATGAGTGTTGGTGTCTGTCTCTGTCTGCTTGTCTCTCTTTCCATCTCTCTGCTTGTCTCTCTGCTTCAGAGAGAGCAACTGTGAACCAGCAGGTATTCTTATGCATTATATCTACAAGGAAAATAGAGCACTTTGGATTTTTTTTAGGTTATCCTAGGTAATTTACATTATGTGTAATTGTATTTATGTGTACCTGTGAGACAGATAGAGACAGACAAAAACAGACAAACAGAGATAAAGACAGATAGAGATAGAGACACAGAAATAGACATAGATACACAGACAGACAGACGGAGATAGAGCCAGCCAGTTGGCCGGCCAGCCAGCCTGCCGAACACTTATCACATGTTCCAGAATTGTTTTTCTTTACTTAGGGCATAGGTTATAAGACATTCTGAAAGGGTGTTGCACAAATGTTGCACATGGGTTATTATCGAGGTTTTTGATATTTCCTCGACCACTTGTGGCCACATCCACCTCAGAGCCACTAAACTTGGGGTCAACATCGCTTTCCTCTTAAAAGGGAAGTGTTAATATGACATGACATCAGTGAATCCTTGGTGTTTGCTGCGCTGTTTTCTCTCTAGTTGGCGCTCAATTTAACTGGTGCTCCCACAGGGTACTAAGTAGTTCCAGATTTTTTTAATATGGCGCACACCAAGTGTTAAGACCCATTTTATGCTGACCAGGCATCTCAGGCCAATAGTGCCAAATTTGGAGGCAGGAAAAATAAAACGTATACAGTAGACCGTCATTTAGCATGAGTTTATTTGGCACGATTTGGGTATAGCATGATTGAAGAATTGCGGCACAATTTTATGTAACACGTATGATGAATTTAACGTGGTTCAGTTTGTGGGAAGGAAAAAAAAAATCTTCCCTTTTCCTCAACCGGCCGCCTTGTTGTGGTTCAGCTGGGGAGACCTCCCGCTGTCCCCAGCCACCCCCCAACACCACCCCACCATCAATGCATTCGTACTTCATACCTGTCCAGTCCAACTTCTCTGCTACAAGCTTGTGATTGTGAATTGTGTTTTGATCTTTTAATTGCTATATCTTGTATCTGCCAAGCAATCATGACACCCAGTAAGCATATCAGTGTTGCTCAAAGTGGCAAGAAAAGGTGTAAGCATTTAAGTCTTAGAATTAACGAAGGAAACAAAGATATCAGATAAGACATCCTGTGGCCATAATGAAGTGTTACTTTGTACACATAAATAAGAATTAAACATAAGTTTGTGTGACTGACTGACGTACTGAACGACTTGACTGACTTACTGAACGACTTGACTGACTTACTGAATCACTTGGCTGACTTACTGAATCACTTGGCTGACTTACTGAATCACTTGACTGACTTACTGAATCACTTGACTGACTTACTGAATCACTTGACTGACTTACCTGGAGGTTACCTGGAGGTTATTCTGGGGATCAACGCCCCCGCGGCCCGGTCCATGACCAGGCCTCCCGATGGATCAGGGCCTGATCAACTAGGCTGTTACTGCTGGCCGCACGCAGTCCGACGTACGAGCCACAGCCCGGCTGATCCAGCACTGACTTTAGGTATCTGTCCAGCTCTCTCTTGAAGGCAGCCAGGGGTTTATTGGCAATTCCCCTAATGCTTGATGGGAGGCTGTTGAACAGTTTTGGGCAGCGGACACTTATGGTGTTTTCTCTTAGTGTACCAATGGCGCCCCTACTTTTTATTGGCGGCATTTTGCATCGCCTGCCCAGTCTTTTACTTTCGTAGGGAGTGATTTCTGTGTGCAGATTTGGGACCATTCCTTCCAAGATTTTCCAAGTGTAGATTATGATATATCTCTCCCTCCTGCGTTCCAACGAGTACAAGTCAAGTGCTTCCAAGCGTTCCCAGTAGTTAAGGTGCTTGACAGAACTTATACGTGCAGTAAAGGATCTCTGTACACTCTCTAGATCTGCGATTTCACCTGCTTTGTATGGAGATGTTAATGTACAGCAGTATTCCAGCCTAGAGAGAACAAGTGATTTGAAAAGGATCATCATGGGCTTGGCATCTCTCGTTTTGAAAGTTCTCATTATCCATCCTATCATTTTCTTTGCACGTGCGATCGTGGCACTGTTGTGATCCTTGAAAGTGAGATCCTCAGACATTACTACTCCCAGGTCCCTTACATTATTTTTCCGCTCTATTGTATGGCCGGAGTCAGTAGTCTCTGTTCTAGTTATTATCTCCTCCAGTTTTCCATAACGGAGTAGTTGGAATTTGTCCTCATTGAACATCATATTGTTTACCGTTGCCCACTGGAAAACTGATGTTAGTAATTAATATTTTGTGTTGGTTTATCAGTTTTACAAGCTAATATGCAAAGCTGATAACACTCACCAACTTGCTACTGGATTTTTTAATTACACTCAGGCATATAGCTCTTAGTTTTCTTCAGTGTATACAGTCTATGCAGTAAAATATATATATATTTCTATAAATGTTTTTAATAATGGTTCAAGATTTCAAAGTTATTAGATAAATGGCAATGTAAATTTGTGTTGAGACTGATAAGTACAATGGAGCAGGTTACCAGACACAAGTGCAAGGGTAAGGAGTAAAATATTACCATGGGACTGACCACAACCTGTGGTTTTATTCAAAAACCTATTTTAAATACTTGCCAATTTGTGACCCAACTGGTAGGGTAAAGGACTTCTTCCCAGCTGACAAGAGGGTTTAAGTCTTGAATTACTCCTATATGCTTAGATTGCTACATTCTATACAACACAGCTGTACTGAACATGGATACCATCACTAACCAAAGTACTTGATAATGAGAAAAGTGCTTTGGAATTTACACCAACCAAGGACTATCTTAAAATTTTTGTGGATGGCACATGTTTGTGTACCTCTGTGACAGGCCAAAGGTAATAAAGGGCTTCTTCAGCACAAGGTCACTGTAATTTAATATTTCATCACTTGACTGACTTATTGAATCACTTGACTGGCTTACTGAATGACTTGACTGACTTAATGACTTGAGACTTACTGAATTGACTGACTTACTGAATCACTTGACTGACTTATTGAATCATTTGACTGACTTACTGAATCACTTGACTGACTTACTGAATCACTTGACTGACTGAATCACTTGACTGACTTACTGAATCACTTGACTGACTTACTGAATCACTTGATTGAATGACTAAGTTAGACACTCCAGTACAACCATTAACTTCAATACCAGAACCTATACCATCCACCTCAGCCCAGTAGGGCCACAACATAACTCTCCCCATTCTTCACAATCATCCACAAACACCAGCATCCACAATTTAAGGTAAATACTATTATTTCTGTTACATTTGTAGTCTTAATCAGTAAAAATAGAATAAAACGTCATATCAATGAACTACAATTACATTTTCACTTTTATTTTTGTAAGATGTGGAGGCCTAAAAAAAAGTTGTTTGGCTTTTTTGAGGCTCAGGAATGTAACCCTATTTTTCCCACAAGTTCTTCAGTTCATCTAACACGGTTTTACCTAACACGGTGTTTTCAGGAACGTAACTACCATGTTAAAAGATTGTCTACTGTATATACGTTTGGGGCGCTAGTGGTAAGAAAGTATATAAACATTTGGTTTAGGGGATAATAAGACTCAGAAGGGGAAGCATGGGAAGATATGGTCAGAGCAATAATTATTTTTACCTCGGAAGTGGCCACTACCACTCGTCACATAATGACACATTTTATTCATTCTAGAGTATATATCATGTTTCTATGTTATTTAAATTGTTTATTATGTCATATTAGATCAATTGTGATAGATAAAAAAGACGTAGATTTTATATTAGTGTTATTTGGGGGCTGGAATGGTTTAATGGCATTTCAATTAATTTCAGTGAGGAAAATTGATTTGATATGCGAGCAAATTGAGTTACGAGCTAGGTCACCGAATGGATTAAACTCATAAGTCAAGGTACCACTGTATTTAATTAATGAAAAAGCATATGAAGAGTATGGAACAGAATAGGATTAGGAGGAGGGGTAGGGATCATTCCAAGGGTTGGAGGGAGAAGGTAGAGGAGGCTTTGAGTGCTAAGGTTTTGAACATCAGGCAGGTTTGGGTGAGCATAGTAAAGAGTAAGTAGGGACCAAGTGGTTTTTATGGGTTGATGTGCTGTTGGAGTGTGAGCAAGTTAACATTTGTGTAGGGGCATGATGTTTGTGCACTGCTGGCAAGACAGCAGTTGAATGAATGATGGTGACTGTTTCCTTTTTTTGGGGGGAAGGGTCATTCTGCTTTGGTGGGAGACAGCTAATGAGCTAATGGAGAGCACTGCAGTGGTGAAAATATGAGAATGTAAATAGTGATGCATTGTAAGTGTAGCCCAAAACAAAAACACTGTGGTAAAAGAAAAAAAAGGCAACCCTTTAGGTGAACCACTCTATTATCTAATTGCCACCATTTTTGTATCACTAATGTTAAGGTGTCTAAAATTATTACCTCTTTAGGTTTCTATTTCTTTTAGATGGTGGTCTCAGATTAAAACAGCAGGTTCTGCTATATATGCCAATCGCCACTACCTCCAACTTTACCACAAAACCAAGAATGAACGCTTAGCAGTAAATGGACCAGATAAACCAACTATTATTGGTGATGTTTATATTCACCCAACAGCAACTGTTGATCCATCAGCCTTGGTAAGTTTACAGTGATCACTGGTTTGAATTTGTGTACACACTCCCATTACATAGTGTACTTGCATTAATTCTTTTGTATGCTTGTGAAAAACGTTTTAACCTGTCTGTGGTCTTTTAAAGTTACTATTTCGTGAGCTCCTTCAAATCCATTACGTTATGGTATCTCGTAAAAAAAGCTCGCATCTTATCTGATTGTTTTATATCCTTATGTACTTCACTGTCTTCACCCCCCTACCCTCCCATTTTTTTTTTTCAGTATTCCTCCATATGAGAATTTTTTAAAAAAATGATAAATTAATTGATGGAACAACACAGACATAGCTTTGCTCCTGTAGGTATAAATAGGAAATTACAAATGGGTAACTACAGAGCATGACAGTTGTGGGTGATTTCATTATTATTTATTACATTCATGTGGGAATCATTAAACCCATTAGGGGTTCTATAGTGCCTGGTGAATGGATGGCATTCTGATGCGGTTTAAAGAAGGTATTTCACCCATATCTGTCCTTTTAGTTAAAAAAAAAGAAGTAAATTTTGTATTTTTATTTTTTTAAGAATAGGAATAACACAATAAAGCAATCATATATCAAGGTTTTGCACTGAGGATTTACCCTTAGTTCTGTAGTCACTACTTAGATACCCATATTTTAAAAGGTATTGCTTGTATTATTAATAAATCAAAACTGAGCACTAAACCCAGAAGGATGATACAGTGGTGCAGGGTAAGGCTTCATATCTTTGATCTGATACTAGCAAGTGTGGAGGTAGTGTCTGTAAAAAGTGATACTAGCAAGTGTGGAGGTTGTGCTTGTAAAAAGTGATACTAGCAAGTGTGGAGGTTGTGCTTGTAAAAAGTGATACTAGCAAGTGTGGAGGTTGTGCTTGTAAAAAGTGATACTAGCAAGTGTGGAGGTTGGGCTTGTAAAAAGTGATACTAGCAAGTGTGGAGGTAGTGCTTGTTAAAAGATACTAGCAAGTGTGAAGGTAGTGCTTGTAAAAAGTGATACTAGTAAGTGTGGAGGTTGTGCTTGTAAAATGTGATACTAGCAAATGTGGAGGTAGTGCTTGTAAAAAGAAAATGCAGGTAATCCAGGTTTATTTGATGTTTGCTCTTTTTTTCAGTTGGGCCCAAATGTGAGTGTTGGCAAGAATGCAGTGATAGGTGCTGGAGTTCGCATACGAGAATCTATCATCCTAGGCAATACCACTATTCAGGAACACAGTTGTGTTCTTTACAC